CCCCAAAACCCCAAAACCCCGCTAAATAATATCCTTGATAGTAAAGTTAAGTAAAATACATCATAATAAACTCATGTGCGAAGTATCAAGTTATTTTCTATAATTAGTCAATATTTATCTCTTATTGCGCTCTTCAAATTATTTATTCTCTTTTATATTTACTTATCATTATCAGCAGTATCTCCCTACACTCTATTTAGTTCATACCTAACTGAATTTTATAAATGATCAACAAGACCTTAAGTCATTCTTAGAGCATCATAATTATCTATCCTATCCACATAAGGCCTTAGTCTGAGCATTTCTTCCCATCTTGCAAGCTCATCTGAATGCCTTCGACCCCAATATTACTCCATTTCATTCATCTAATCTTTTTACATCGCAAGTATTTCTTTTATTCTTCTATCATAGTCTCCTTGGTATTTTTGATCAAGCTCAGATCTTTCCTTCATCAATTTTGCCTCTTACTCATCTAAAAGTTATTTTCTCAATTTGTCCTCCTCTTCTCTTTTGAGCCTATCTTGATAAAGTAAACTCAGCATTTCATTATACCAGGCCACCCAGTCATAGTAATTAGGTAAATTCCAAAACTAATAAGGATTAACAGTATCGCCAACGATGTAATCAGCTTTCTGAGCTTGAGCATCGACCATGTAATCTGGCTAGAAATTAGGATTTACGTGCTGAACTACCACTTATGGTTAAACTTACGGCTACTGAATTGTGTGTTAGATTATAGTTGTCTGTGGAGGAGGTTAATGATGTTATGTTTGGACATTGTTTTAATTTTACATACCAAAAGAAGTAGGAGGAGGTATATAACCTGTTTGAGGAGGACCTCCATGGTAAGAGCCAATATTTACACCTCTTGTATGTAAATCTCTAGGCTTGCCATAATGATCAAAATAGCTTGTCATACCATGCTTTGTTACAGGTCTTGAACTACTCATTACTGAGTATTTTGGCCCTCTATTATATGCAAAGTTTTTATGATATTCATTCCTATTTTGAGGTTTTCTAGTTGTAATCATTGTTCCGTATTAATCTCTGAGTGGGGCACCTCCACCTCCTCTACCAAACGGATTGTATTAGTAATACTCATCAAGGAAGTTATGATCAGCTACCTTGTCCTCAAGCTGCTGATAGCGCTTTTTAGCTTCATTGTTTTTCAGTTATTCTCTTAACTCTTCTCCATACTAGCTTTTTCGAAGCTCAGCATCTACATATCTCTCTTTTTAATGTCCTTAGTGCCAGAGCTAAGCACCAAATGCAGTAGCTGGTGGCATCATGCCATTCTATCTCGCTTATTCATTTCCATTTTAATTCCAATTAAAACTCTTATACCCGGATGTTTCAGGCCTAAAGGAAGTTTCAGGTCTGAAATTTTATTCATTATTCTCTTCATTTCTGGTAATAACCATTGTATTCACTTTATCTCCAATCTTATTAGTATAATGATATTAATCAACAACATCATTTTCAGTATGACCTTAGCTCTCTTCCTAAATAGTTGTTAGTGAATTACTTTGACCAGCCAATTTCGGAAGAGTGGGCATGCTTTGTGAGTGAAATTATTTCTAATTATTATTTGAGAAATTCTACTTATCTCCCCCTGACCCATTATTGCCCCTTGAATATGCTCGAAAAGAATGCTCATAGCGTTACTTTGCTTTTGTCTCTGGAGAGGGCTCATAAACACCGAGGTTATCAAATATAAATGCATTATCTTATCCTCCTTATCCGACTTTCCCCGATGGGTCATTATTCCTTCTTCAAAGATGACTTGGTTTCAAGTCCTATCATGTTTATTGCATATAATTTTTATATTCTTCCTTCATTAGTGAGCTTTTTCTTTCATTTTCTGAGACACCGATGAGTGGGTTTGGATTCGATTGTATAAATGTAGAAGCTGCTGTTGATCTATTCTACATTGTCATGTTGTTGTTACTCATCTCAGGTTGAAATTACTGAGTTTGCTAATTAAAGCTGCTTTAATAACTTTCTTGCATTTTAGATTTAATAATTAAATTTTTAATTCCTAATAATAAAAACATAGAATTCCTCAATATTTGAAGGACTTTGTCAAATTCCAGTTCCACAAACATCGCAACTGTTTGCATTAGCAGCATTTGTAAAAGTACAGATTGGACATACTTTGCCCTATGACTAAGACAAGTTAAAAATAGCCATTGGAGATCCGGAATCAGAACCAGTTGGTGACAAACTGCTAACATCATCATTCTCTGGACCAGGTGCTCCATTTTAAGCAGATTAGCTAAAGTTCTGATGATTGAAACCCAAGGGTGGGGTATTTTGGCCCGACATCTTTTAAAATATCTTTTAATTAATTATAGACTTAGGATCGTATTAAGAGTTAAATGATTTTAAATAAATAAGATCAGCAGTAAGTTAATAATTGACTGAATAGTCTCACTTAATTGTGTTCAATAAAATAGTGCTCCTTTTCAAGATTTGTTGACAATATCTACTATCTCAGCAAAGGTTTACTTCAATGAAGCTCCTCCAACTAAGAAACCGTCAATGTCTTTTTGAGTTATAAGAGATTCAGCATTCTTTTCTGTAACTGATCCTCCATAAATAATTCTTGTTTGCTAAGAAATCAATTCAGAACAGTTTTGTGCTACCCATTTCCTAATGTAATCATGAACCTCTGCTGCCATATCTGAGGATGCAGTTTTGCCAGTGCCTATAGCCCAAACAGGCTCGTAGGCTATAACTATCTTCGACCAATCTCTTATACTTTATTTTATTGCATCTAACTAGGCTTTTAAAATATCCTTAGTTAATCCTTCCTCTCTCTCTTCATAAGTCTCTCCAATACAAACTATAGAGTTCAATCCTTGATCTTAAGCTCTTTCTACCTTTTTTGCTACGATCTCATTATTCTCACTAAAAAGCTTTCTTCTCTCACTATGGCCTATGATGACCCACTGCAATCCGAAATCCTTGATCTATTCTGCACTGACTTCCCCAGTGTATGCTCCATTTCCCATCATATTAATATTCTATGCGCATACCATAATATTGGTGTTAAGCATCGCCTTTGCAGATGGTATATGGATTACGATTGGAGCAACTACAACATCAACTTTCTTTTCGTCAAACTTCATCCTATTAAGGACTTCATTGATCATCTCTCTAACGAAAGTCACATTGCCATTTGATTTCCAGTTACCTCCAACAAGCAGTCTTCTTGGATCAACCTTAGGCTATTCAGGTATCTACTATTGAGCTGCAAGATCTTTCTTTTGCATTTTATTTATTAAAAGTTAAATATATAAAATATTATATTAAATTTCAATGGAAGGAAATTAAACATCAACTGACCTCCTAAAGTCAGCTACATTTACTTGCAACGTCTCAACTGTGCTGCAAAAGAACCATAAATAATATGGAAAGAAATTTATATATGACGGAAAGGATAATACATGCTGGTACTCAGACTAAGGGTTACCTTAGTATGTGAGCTTCAAATTTGATGAAGAGTAGTAAGTTAAGTAAATCAAATACACATCATAAGGTGGCTTTTGTCCAAAGGTATCTAATTTATTACAGTAATATATACAGGAAGTTGTGATTATTATGGAAGATAAAGAAGTTGAAAGACATGAATAATAGGATAGTAATTTGGAATAAGTCATTAATATAAGTGAGGAGAATCAATCAGTCAAGTTCAAGAATATCAAATTAGAGTTTCCCCAGGTTACAGATTTATTCGGCAGAACAATACTTTATAAATTAGAATTAATTAAGCTATGATTAATTGCATTATTTAGCATAAAGGGGTTTTGGGGTTTTGGGGTTTTGGGGAAACTCTAATTTGATATTCTT